ATCACAATACTAGAATAGGTCACTATTATTGTTATCATTAATAATAATAATAATCTTAGAATAGCAATACTAGAATAGATCACTATTATTATCATTATCATCATCATCATCATCATCATCTTAGAATTGCAATACTAGACTAGATCACTATTATTATTATCATCATTAATAATAATAGAATTGCAATACTAGATTATTGCAATAAATAAACATTTTATTGCAATTCACAGCAACTTTGTATCCATTAAATAATACCAGTCAGATGTTTTTATAATTTTGACTGATTGCGCCTGATGATTTTGAAGAAGAAAACATAGCGGCACTTGAAAGACTAGCAGATTTTGGTTTCAGTATGAACTTTCGTGTGGAATCAAAAGCCACTCCTTCAAACCTGGTCCGAGCAGCTTGAACTGGCTTTCTCAGCGCTGCTGCTGCGGTTGCCGTTGTCCGGCGCGAAACCCTGAAGGTGATCTCTCCAAAATGCCCTCTCCTCCATGACAGTATTCAGCGACAGCAAACCCAAGCCTTGTGGCTTCCTTGAGGGAGTCCGTCCATCTCACATTGGCTCTTCCTCTTTTCCTGCTGCCTTCCGGTTTTCCCAACATGATGGTCTTTTCCCAGAGAGGCGTCTCTTCTTGGGATGTGCCTGGAGTACAGCGGCCTCCGTTTCACTCTGTGCCCAGGTGAATAATACGCCCACCTGCTTTTTGCCCTCCTCCTGATTTTTTGGGGACACGGATGTGGCTCAAGCGCCACATCCACGCAAACCCCCTTTGCATGGAGTATGCAGACCTCGGTGCTGTCTGGAATAAGTAGGGAAGGTTGCTCAATTAAAAATTGTGCACCTCAAGTCAATTTTGATTTGCGGTGACCCTTTCCAGGTTTTCCCAGGGAGAGATGACCCTTTCCATCCTCTAGGGGGAGCCCTTGGACGGTGCAGCTTGCCCAAGGCTACCCAGGCTGGCTTTTCTCCCAGGGGGGAATCGAACTCCCCATCCTCTGGCTCCACAAGAGACCTAAACCACTGAGCTCTCCAGACAGATTTGGGCTATATATCTTCTTTGACTCATATTTCTCTCCTTGCTGGGAGACCCATGGAGACCCAGCAATTCTCCAGGACTTCTCTCCACCCTCTGAGATCCAGCAAATGTCGACGCAGCAACAAGTTCGCTTTAAAGATTAGGGAAATTTAATTTTCCCATTTAGCTTGCAGACGCAAGGCGGTTTGTGTGCGTGATGTATTATCAAGATGGAACAGAGGCCTTTCAAAGTAAGAAACCGGTTTCCTTAGTTCCACCCCGACACGGAGTGTCGAAGGAGGGATTTCCCTAACTGAGGAGGGATTCGAACCCAGGACTCCTGAGTCTTAGGTTTCCCTTACCGAGGAGGGATTCGAATCCAGGACTCCTGAGTCTTCGTCCATTAATTCTCATCCAGGAGTTTCCAACCTTGGGTCCCCAGAAGGTCTTGGACTACAGCACCCAGAAGCCTTCACCACTTGCTGCGTCAGCCTGGATTTCTGGGCGTTGTAGTCCGAGAACATCTGGGGAGCGAAGGTTGGGAATTGAGCCTGCAAGGGTGTTGCTTTCCGCACCGGCGTGAACAATCTCAGACGGCCACCAGGAGACGCTGTTGTGCCGTCTCAGGAAAACCTCTGGCCTTTTTCTGTCTGCTTGGCCAGGATAACATCTGGAACGGGGGGAAAAAGGAGGCATAACATTAAAATGAGGTGTCACTCAAAAGCTTGATCAGGCAGAAATCAGTTTTTTTTCACCCTGTTTTTCTGGCCAAAGCGTACATTCCTCAGAGGCTTAATAAGGGCAGCCGGCCAGGCAGCGTCACAGCAGCATCTTTTGAAACAGCGGCGTTGAGAAGGCTTCGGTTTGGGCGGCAGGCTTTTGGCATCAGGTTAATCAACTGCAGTTTAAGTTGATTAATCTAAGAGGAGTAGTAACTTTCAGCAGTGGAGCTGAAAGTTTATCCATTTATAATACAGTATTTTAATTAATTTTTATTTCTTGAACTTGTATGCCACCCAACTAGACCTAGTCTACTCTGGGCGGCTCACAGAACACAACCTTACCTGCCTGCCCTGAAGAGGTTTAAAGGTCCCCCCCTCCTTATTTAACCACTCAAAACCCTGCAAAGTAGATAAGGCATCGGGTCAGTAATTTCCTCCCTTTTCAGGCGCAGTGCCTATTACTCAGAGGCTTAATAAGGGCAGCAGGCCAGGCAGCATCAGAGACGTGGCTCCATGGTCGAGAAGAGACACAGGTTTATCCCATTCAGCCACTGAAACACTGCTTTAATGCAAATGTGTGATATTGAAGAGCAGTAGTCCACCTCTGAGAAGGAGCAGTCTATCTGAGTACAGTGGTGCCTCGCTAGACAGTTACCCCGCATGACAGTTTTTTCGCTAGACATTGAATTTTTGCGATCGCTATAGCGATTCGCAAAACAGTGATTCCTATGGGGGAATTTCGCTGGACAATGTTTGGTCCCTGCTTCGCTAACTGATTTTCGCTAGATGACGCTTTGCTTTTCGCTAGACAATGATTTTGCTATACAGTGATTTCAGTAGAACGGATTATCGTCATCTAGCGAGGCACCACTGTATTGGCTTTTCAGGAGCAGCAGATCTCCCAAATTTCGCTTTCATTGCTGGCCTACTCCTGGCCGCCAGAGGTGTAAAGCAAGCTCGGCCGTCCAGTTCACTAGCAAGCAGAGCCTTGTCTGCTGGAAGGGTTGATCCATCAGCAGCCAGCCGATGCCAGCTGGTGAAAAAGCACAGAATCCCAACTCTCATGTCTGGCTGCTTTTAATTATTTGCGCAAATTAATTGGTTGTCCTTGGCCAGTGCATGCAAGCACCGTTTAATTACTGTCAGCAGAGCTCTTGGCGGATGCAAAATGGAGACTAGAGTCCTAGTCAGGTTTCTGTGTGGGGAGAAATTCACAAAATTGGGTGGGAACTTATTAAGGAAGCTGTCAGTCCCGAGTCCCCGCCTAGAGAACATCTGGAAGGAGGCGAAAAGTCATTTCTCAGGCCGCATTTACCATCTTCATACTCCTTATAGGCAGTGGTAGCTGGCGGCTCCGAGATCCGCTCCGGGTTTCCGTCCAAAGTTTACAGAGGCCGTCTTCGATGGCCAAGGCGGTTCCTCAAATTAGGTTCAGCGCCTTGGATAATGGCTGTAAAGTTCGGAGCAAAACCAGGGGCGGCAACGCAGCCTTGGTGATGCCGGAAGCTGCACTCTCCACCGCGTGGCCCTTGGACAATTTCAAAAATAAAATCCCAATGTAATAAAAATGAAGCCTAGGCACGCCATCTCACCTGAGAGGCTGTGGTTATTTAATTAATTCACATTTTATTCCTTTTGTCTTGCTAAAACAAGTTTCTAACCCTCAAAGAGGAGTAGACGCTGCGTGGGGAGGGGAGGGAGGAGTTGTCTGGAGGTGGGGAGGAAGGAGGTGGGTGGGAGGCGTAGCCTAGGAGTCTGGTTTCTCATTGGCTGGAGCATCCCTTTGTACTGCCTAGCTAGCCACGCCTACAGCCCCTGTTGCTAGGAGACGGCCCAAACAAAAGTCCATTGAAGCTGGCATGGCAACACATTACAGTTCTGGGCAGGTGAGTGTAATGGGAGGGGGGGTCCCACCTGGAGACCCCCCCACACTTTCCAAGACGAATGGGTTGTGGGGGGCTCTTGCGCAGGATCGGAAAGAACAGGCCTCTTTTTCCTCCCCCCTCAAAAAAAAAACGGGTGGGGAAAATGCAGCTTTCCACACTCTCTATCCCACCATTCCCTATCCAGTGGGGGGAATGATGGGAGTTGTATTTCCACCCCTCCTGGGCAGGCCACAGATTCTCCCCACCACCCTCCCCGGGCGGCCACAGACATCATGGGACGGATTCAGCTTCTCCTTTCCGTTTACTTTATAGAGAAAACCCCTTTTGTTTGCTGTTTTACACATTATCTTTTAAGGATGATGTGAGCTGCCTTGGACCCTTTCTTTTAAATAAAATAAAATAAATTTCTCTTCCCCATCCCCCAGCTTAGAAAAGCAACTCTTCCCCACAAATCTCCTTCCGTACCGAAAAAAACATATTTATTTGCCCTCCTTCCCATTCTCCAAATTCTACCCTCCTAACCTTAAAGGGAGACCTTTGCCCCTACAGATCACTTAGTGATCCATCACCCACTCATTTAAACCCCATCATCTGCATCTCGCTCTTTTCAGCCAAAACCCCTTTACTGAGATCCTCCTCTTCATCGCCTCCTTATGAATCATAATAATGCAAAAAATTGCAGCTGTTTTCTTGCAAGGGAAACAGCTAAGAAAAAAAAATATCTGAAACTCAATCACCCCAGTCCAAACTGTGACATCCTTCTTGACATTTACATGTTACTCTCCCTCTTTAAATTAATTTAATCTGCTTCCACTGATGACAAGAAAGGGTAAAATCCCCTGACTCTTTGACTTTTTATTGGGGCACACCACCGGCTTCCTGTCAGGTCCATGAGGGCTAGAAACTTAGGTGTTTTTTTTAAAAAAGATGTCTCCTCCCCTCTTGTTACCATTTCAAATTCTGCACCCTTTGCACTAACTTTGGACTCAGAAAGATCAATGCCCGTCTCTCACACCCGTTCACTGTCTTGGCTTTTCGCAGTACGAAGATGCTTATTGTCCCCGGAATCTGCAGACCTGGGGCCTTCCAAAAGTTTTTAAGAAGGTGAGTGTCTTCATGATATCATAGAATAAATGAGTTGTAAAGGGGCCTCGAAGGCCATCTAGTCCAACCCCCTGCTCAAGACAGGAATCCAAGTCAAAGCAGATCTGACAGTGGTCCAATTTTCTCCAGCATTCAAGCTCTCACCACCTCCCTAGGTAATGGTTTCCATTGTCGTACTGCTCTAACAGTTAGGAAGTTTTTCCTGATCTTCAGCCTACACTTGGCTTCCTGTAGCTTGAGCCCATTCAAAAAGGAGAGTGCTTATTGTTGCTATTAAGTCCTTATTTCCAGATGGGGTGAACTTTGAAAGTGGGAATAAGGACGATGCTTCAGCATTGAGTTTAGAGAGGGTAATACAGAACAGTTCTGTTGTTGTTATATTCATAATAATGCTGTGTTGTCAAGTCAGTTCTGAGTGATGGGTGAAGTCAGTTCTGAATGATGGGTGAAGTCAGTTCTGAGTGATGGGTGAAGTCAGTTCTGAATGATGGGTGAAGTCAGTTCTGAGTGATGGGTGAAGTCAGTTCTGAATGATGGGTGAAGTCAGTTCTGAGTGATGGGTGAAGTCAGTTCTGAATGATGGGTGAAGTCAGTTCTGAGTGATGGGTGAAGTCAGTTCTGAATGATGGGTGAAGTCAGTTCTGAGTGATGGGTGAAGTCAGTTCTGAGTGATGGGTCAAGTCAGTTCTGAATGATGGGTCAAGTCAGTTCTGAGTGATGGGGAGGCTCTCGGATTAATTTAGGGATAAAGGACTCCGAAGTGGTTGACCGGTCCCTCCTTCTGCTGATGCTCTGGGACGCTTCTGTCCAGATGGCAGAGCGTGTCATCCCTTGAGCCACACATGCACCCGGGGATCTCAGCACTCCAGCATTCAAGCTCTCACCACCTCCCTAGGTAATGGTTTCCATTGTCGTACTGCTCTAACAGTTAGGAAGTTTTTCCTGATCTTCAGCCTACACTTGGCTTCCTGTAGCTTGAGCCCATTCAAAAAGGAGAGTGCTTATTGTTGCTATTAAGTCCTTATTTCCAGATGGGGTGAACTTTGAAAGTGGGAATAAGGACGCTGCTTCAGCATTGAGTTTAGAGAGGGTAATACAGAACAGTTCTGTTGTTATATTCATAATAATGCTGTGTTGTCAAGTCAGTTCTGAGTGATGGTCAAGTCAGTTCTGAGTGATGGGTCAAGTCAGTTCTGAGTGATGGGTCAAGTCAGTTCTGGGTGATGGGTCAAGTCAGTTCTGAGTGATGGGTAAAGTCAATTCTGAGTGATGGGTCAAGTCAATTCTGAGTGATGTGGAGGCTCTCAGGTTAATCTAGGGATAAAGGACTCTGGAGTGGTTGATCGGTCCCTCCTTCTGCTGATGCTCTGGGACCCTTCTGTACAGATGGCAGAACATGTCATCCCTTGAGCCACACACGCACCAGGATATCTCAACAGACCCTTCCCACTGAACTCTGTAACGGATCACCTAGTCAAAACCTTCCCCGTTAAGGGGAACGGGGTCACGCTTCTGTTGAAATCTTGTCGATTTTTCCCTTCATGCACAGCTATGAACTCCTTAGTGTGTGGACACTTTATGTGGATCCATTCTGAGTTTTTTTAATACGATGCCTAAGTGGCCACGCTTGTCAATTTCCACGTCCTGCTCCCATCCACGCTCGTTCTGGTCTGGAGAGTCCAACAGGTACAGAAGACAGCAGCCAGGCTGGTGTTAAATCGTGAATAAATACAAACACATTTCCCCAAGTTCTAGCCAGCCCGGGCTGGTTGCCTGTATTGTACTGGGCCAGATTCAAGGTGCTGGTTCTTACCTATATAGCCCCTCCATGGTTTGGGGCCCTGCTACTTGTCAGAACATCTTTCCCGAAAAACGTCCACCTGCATCACCCGTTCCTCTCCGGTCAAAGTCAATTCTGAGTGATGGGTCAAGTCAATTCTGAGTGATGTGGAGGCTCTCAGGTTAATCTAGGGATAAAGGACTCTGGAGTGGTTGATCGGTCCCTCCTTCTGCTGATGCTCTGGGACCCTTCTGTACAGATGGCAGAACATGTCATCCCTTGAGCCACACACGCACCAGGATATCTCAACAGACCCTTCCCACTGAACTCTGTAACGGATCACCTAGTCAAAACCTTCCCTGTTAAGGGGAACAGGGTCACGCTTCTGTTGAAATCTTGTTGATTTTTTTCTTCATGCACTGCTATGAAGTCCTTAGTGTGTGGACACTTTACGTGGATCCATTCCATTTTTTTAAAAAACGATGCCTAAGTGGTATATAGTGGGTGTCGTATACAAGTTTACTAAATAAATAAGTAAATAAATTCTCATCTTTCTTTCCTTAGCACCCTTCTGCTCGAGAAGGTTACACGCAATTTATAGCCAATGACAAAGGACATCTGCTTCCTTCCATCCCACGTTCCAAGGTGAGGCATCTTCTTCTCCCTCAGATACGTGCGCGCGCATGGCGATTGTGTAGCCCCTCCATGGTTTGGGGCCCTGCTACTTGTCAGAACATCTTTCCCGAAAAACGTCCACCTGCATCACCCGTTCCTCTCCGGTCATGCTCCTGCAAGCTTGCAACACGAGGGGAGGCTAGGAACTCATTAACCAGATACAGGGCCTTCTCGGTCGGGGCCCCTTCTCTTTGAAATGGACTCTCAGTGGAGCTACTGCTGGCCTCCCCTCTTACAGCCTTCAAGAGGATGCTCTAAACAAGATGGTTTACTGAAGCCTTTGAAAGAATCTTCTCTTCATGCAGTACGATTATTTTTCGACAGTGTTTGCCATTGTTTGCGTTTTTTTTAACAAAATTGATTCTTTTGATGGTTGTGTATGGATTATACACGGGTTTTGTTTTATTACATTTTGATTTGTTTTATTTTACGTCTGGGTCACTCTGGATGTATACTGCCCAGAGATGTGTTTATCACTAATCGGTGTGGTATACAAGCTTGCTAAATAAATTAAATAAATAAATTCTCATCTTTCTTTCCTTAGCACCCTTCTGCTCGAGAAGGTTACACGCAATTTATAGCCAATGACAAAGGACATCTGCTTCCTTCCATCCCACGTTCCAAGGTGAGGCATCTTCTTCTCCCTCAGATACGTGCGCGCGCATGGCGATTGTGTGCAAGAATCAGATTTTGTCCCTTTTTTAAAAATTGAGGGGACATGGAAGGAACATCTGGTTAAATTTTATAACCAAGTACAGTGGTGCCTCGCTAGATGATGATAATCCGTTCCACTGTAATCGCTGTTTAGCGAAATCATTTTCTAGCGAAAAGCATTTCCCCATTGGAAGGCATTGAAACCTGTTTAATGCATTCCAATGGGGAAGAATCATCGTTGTCTAGCGAAGATCGGCCATAGGAAAGCCGCTTTGCAAATCGCCGATCAGCTGTTTAAATCACTGTCTTGCAAAGCTTAGGTCCCGAAAACACCTGTTTTGCGAGCGCAGAGGGAGCTGTCAAAAATCATTGTCTAGCGAAAATCGGTTTGCGAAGCAGGGACCAAACATTGTCCAGCGAAATTCCCCCATAGGAATCACTGTTTTGTGAATTGCTATAGCGATCGCAAAAAGTCAATGTCTAGCAAAAAAACTTGTGCGGGGTAACTGTCTAGCGAGGCACCACTGTACTGGGAAGAACAGGCATAAAAAAAGGTGACTCAGGGACAGATGTGAAGTGGAGGCATCCCTATCCAGTAGGACACAGAAAAAGCCCTGGATGTAAGAGTTGAGCCACCTGAGAAACTCAGGTTTTAAGTTTCTAGTCCTTAGGGCCAGAAAGGAATGTTATGGCAAGAGAAATCATTCACCCTCTGAATGTTCGGGCAATCTCACCGAGAGAATGAAAGGGTGCTTTCTGGCCTTGCTTCTGGTTTCCCAAATATCCCAGTTGTTACTGTGGGATGATAAGGCCAGATGACGCAGGCCTTCAGCCGGATCCATCATGGCTTTTCTAACGCTCTCCCTCTAGGCTTCTCCCTGGGGGACGTACATGAACACCTGGGAGATGCCCCTGAAGATTCCTCCAGCCCAGGTGAACCTCACGTCCCGTTCCGTCGACGCGGCGGCCCGTCTAACCGAGTGGGTCAACAAATCAGCAGCCTTGACCACCGCCTGCAACGGCTTCTCGCCAGAAATCATCGGCAAGGTAAAAGGGAAAGGGAGGGCTGATGAGTCAAGCAGGGGAAACCTCACCAAATTCTAGTCTTCTTGCACCGCGGAGGGAAAAAAAACAGCTGGATCAGGGGCCAGGAGGTTCCCTATTTATTCATTTAAAATGTGTTTATGTGGCTTACAATAATTAGGGCAATTTTGCCCTTTAAAGGGAATATCTCCCCCCCAACAAAAAAAAAAGAGTAAGCTCACTGTATGGAGCCTTAAGAACAGAAGCAACTCTCAAAATGCTCCAGTTGGCAATACTGTACTTTCTATTAGGATCAATTTCTTATGGGCTGTTCAAGTCGCTTCTGTCTCATGGTGAGCCTAGGAATGGGTGACCTCCAAAGCGCCCTGTCCTCAACAGCCCTCTTGTAAACTCAAGCCCGTGGTTTCCTTTAGGGAGTCCGTCCATCTTGTATTTCGTCTTCCTCTTTTCCTGCTGCCGTCCACCTTTCCCTGCATGATGGTCTTTCTTTCCCTGGGAATCCTGCCCTCTCATGAGGTTCCCCAAAGTAGGTCAGCCTCAGTGTCTGCATTTTTGCTTCCAGGGATAGTTCAGGCTTGATTTGATCTAGGACTCACTTCCTGACAGCACAAGGGAGCAGAAATTACACTCGCGCCCTGCTTGTATGTAATTTCTGCATGTGGACAGAATACAGAACCAGTTAAGGCCTCTGTCTGATCCATCATGGCTGTGTTTATGTCCTTAATCTGTGGGTGTGCATGGTCTCTGTTCATCGTCAGCGGCTTAGGCATTCTGGCTGTGGAGCCAGAGGTTGGGAGTTCGAATCCCGCTTGGGCCTCATTGACAAGAGATTGGACTCTGATCTATAGAGTCTCTTCCAGCTCTGCAGCTCAAAAGTTATTATAATAGCAAATGATGATGATGACATTTGTTTCTCCTTGCAGCCAAGCAACCCCGTGGCACGTATTTCTAAAGACTCCTCGGCCAAACGTGGCCGTCCCGCCAGTAGAGGTTCGGGGCGTTCTGGCTTGGCGGAGAAAATGCCCGCTCAAGAAGGGACCCCGCACGGCGTGGCCGCCACCCCCAAGGGCCCCCTCTCCCGACAGCCGGGCGCCATGGACGTCCGCATGAAGGAGGACGCTTCGCCGGAGGTCCAGGACCCCCAGCGCCAGGAGCCCAAAGAGAGCCAGAGAAGTGGAAGCGAAGTCCCGCTCTCGCGCCAGCCGGGGTCCATGGATGTCCGCCTGAAAGAGGCCCCGAGCCCTAAGGTCCCCCCTCCCAGCCGCCCGGCCTCGAGAGACCTTGCATCTCCCAGGAGATCCAACTCTGCAGAAGCCCCAGCATCGGGTCGGCCGAGGTCGCTGGAAACGAGACCCAAAGGGGTCAGCACTCCGGAACTTCGGGCTTCCTGCCGCCCGGGCTCCATGGAAGCCAACCCCGCCAAAGCCTTCGCCCCCGAGGCCTTGCCCTCTAGCCGGCCTGTTACGAAAGCCAGCCAGGTTCTGGAGCTTAGGAAGACCCCACTGGAGAGGGATGTGAACCAGAGCGAAAAGGGAGGTACGGCCAAACCTCACCTAGAGGAATCGTCCAACTAAACCTCCCCTGGAAGGTGAAAAATCCAAAGATTCTATTCCCCGACAACTGGAAGTTAAAAGAAACTGTTCTGTTTGGTCTATCAAGCAACTCCGGTGTGTTTTGTGGCTGTTTTTTCTCTCCCCCTTTCCCTTCCCTCTGCTTCTCCTTTCCCCCTCTAAATCTAACCCTCTGCCCATCCCTCCCCTTGTTTCTCCTCTTTCCTAGTATCTCAGCAAGAAGCACCTTCCACTGAGTCCAGACAAAGGCAAAAAAAACCACCAACCGGCAAAATCCACGCGTTTCTCGAATTGCCCCGATCTAAGAAAACAAGGTGGGGCATCTCCGTGTTGTTCTAGACAAGACTTGCCGCACGAGGGGCAGCGACGCGACCCGAGCAATGCCATTTAAGCAAAAAAAGAAAATAAAAATACGATTGCATGGACTTCAAAAGATGGAATGGTGGAGTCCCACTGATGGCCGTTTTCATCGTAACACGTCATTAAATAAAGCTAAACCCCAAATACGTTTCGGCTCTCCTGCTGCGAGATCTTCTTTTCAAGCTTAGTCCTGTCCCCTGGGTTAAAGAAACATTCAGTCGATGCCTTTTCGTAAGAGGAATCGGAGAATGATGGAGCTGGAAAGGGTTTATAAGACCCTCGCCTCCAAACGCTTTGATTAAGGCAGGAATCCCAAGTCAAAGCAGATGTGGGCAGAAGGCGGTGGTCCAGTCCCCTCTTGAAAGCCTCCAGTGCTGGAACGCTCAACATTTCCATAGGCCACCGTTTCCATTGTTGTACTGCTCTAACAGTTAAGATGCTTTTCCTGATATGCAGCTGAAATTTGGCTTCCTGTCGCTTGAGCCCATCATGACGTGTCCTGCATTCTGGGAGGACTGAGAACAGATCCTGCCAGTCCTCTGTAGGATGACTTTTCAAGTAGTTAAAAAGTCCTGTCCTATCTCCCCATAGTGTCTTCTTTTCTCAAGACTACACATAGCCAGTTCTTTCCATCTTTCCCCCTAGGGCTTGGTTTCCCTGACTCTCTGTGTGTGTGAGACAGAGAGACACAGACAGACAGAGCCATTGTGGGGTATTTTCTCACTCCAGTGAGAAGATCGATGGGGCTATGCTCAAAGGAGTGTGAGAGAGACCATCTACAGACTCGTGTCCACTAAGAACTAGAATACAAGACAGAATAAAAGGGTAAAATCAGATAAAAGGTAGGCTGAATTATTTGGGAGGCAGGAAGCAGGGGAAAGCCTTAGGCAAACTTGATTTTAGACTCGAAAAGCCTGCTGGCCTTACGGGTATGCCCCTCTGGATGGGGCCAACGTGCTCTCCACCAGGTATTTCTGGACTACAAATCCTACACTGGGGCTGATGGGAGTTGCAGTCCCGACAGCATCGGAAAGGCTACACACCGGGCTCAATTCAGAGGGAACGCGCAGCCCTTCTCTTACTTTAAAATGGGGTAAGCCAAGCCTGTTTGTAGGCTGTTCTGTTGGGAGGTGGGCGGGTGGTTCAAAATCGAACCTGGACAGTCTGGCTGAATGGGCAAGCGGGCATGGACAGTAAACCAAAATTGTCCTCTTTTCCAGCAAAAAGCTCCCTGGTCCATGAGCGGGAAAGCTTAGGAAATAAATCTTGTGGGGAGGAGCACATCAGAAATATTGTGCTGTGCACATAATAAGTGGATCCAGCTTATGCAAACTGATTGAATCTGTTTTGGGATTCATCAAGTTTCCAGACTCATTAGCCCCCCCCCCCGGCATGTAGCAGATGCTTAGAATATAGAAATAAACAAAAACAAAGCCAGTAACGGAGAATGGGGGGGGGGAACGGAGAGAGAAAACTCATCTCAATAACAAATAATTGGTTTTAACACAAGGGGCTCGCTTGCCTTCCCAAGGAAAACCTTGATCATTTTTTTTTTGAAAACCATCAAAGCGGCAAGCTTTCCAAACACTTTCAGAAGCTCGAGTTCTCTATTTTTGTAGTCTATGTGACACAAGGAGAGAGAAACAGGTTGAATTTCATCTCCCTATTTTTAGCATCAGAAACCGAGGTTCTGCCGAGGCTGGGGGAATTCTGCAGCTACATCCCCAATACTTTTAAAAAAACTCCGATGTCTCTTTACTGCAACAGAGGGAGACGGTTCGCCTGCCCCACTTTGGGGAGAAGGAAAAGGGGATGGCTGTAGACCCTTAGCCGTAGAGACTCAAGCTTGCCCCTAACCTCCAATCCCTATCTGCCAGAGCAGAATGTGTCTTTTCTAGCTATCCCTCCAAGCCGGGGACGATGGGATCTCTGGTTCGGGACCTCTGGAACCAGCCGGCTGGACAAGGGTGGTGCATGCTCAGAGATGGTTTGTTCTTTACAAAAGATGCGATGTACTAGCAAGACTGATTGATTTGCAAGGATGGCATAGCCCCCTCCATTTGCAGAAGGACAAAAATAATCAGGTGGAGGGGAAACCCCAAAGGGAGGGGGGGTGTCTCCAATAAAAACTGGAGGCTGGAAGGGCACGAAAGACTGCGGCCATGGGGAGAGGAGGAATGGGGCATTGAGGGAAGAAAAAAAATGGAATTATCGCCATCTTAGAAATGCAGAGTTGGAAGGGACCGTCTGGATCATTTGAGTCCAGCCTGGTTCCACAGCCAGAGAGGTAATCAAGTTTCTCGATCAGTGCAGGACGTCATAATGGGCTAAGATCATAGGAAGCCAGATTTCGGCTGCATAGCAAGAAAAACTTCTCAACTGTTAGAGCAGTACGACAATGGAACCAACGACCTTGGTAGGTAGGGAGCGCTCCAATGCTTGGAGGCACTCAAAAGACCAATCAGATAACTATCTCTCAGATCTGCTTAGATTTGGTTTCCTGGATTGAGAAAGGGGTTGGACTCAACGGCCTTAGAAGCCCATTCCAACTCCATTACTCTCTGCTTCTATTCTCTGTTTCACATTTCCAAATGACTCCCCCCCTCCCATCTTTTCTAATCTGCCAACACATAGAATAAGATATGCTTCAGAAACTACAGTCTTAGGATGGAAGAAAATAGACCCATTATTTTCTCTCTGTGCATACGCGTTCTGCGTTGTCAAGTCGGGAGCGACATAAAGCAACCCTAATAGGGCTTTCAAGTTAAGCGAGATATTTTAATGAGAGGTCTTACTGGTTCCACTCCCCTAGTGAGTTTCCATGGCTGAGCGCAGATTCGAACCCTCTTCTCCAGAGTCCTAGAGTTCTTCACTCTATCCGCTACACACCACACTGGGAATATTTTCTATAGCTTATACTGCAGCTATGCACAGACCACATAAAGGAAAAAAAAAGATCTAATATAGAGTAAAATTTAACACCCCCAAAGAAGCCCATCAGATTCAGGCCCAAACACGTCCGGTAATTTTTAAATTTAAAGAAAGCATTTTTCTTATGTCCTGAGACTGCAGTGTCTCCTTCTGAATCAAGTTCATTGGATGTATATTCTGATGTATGTCTTTTGCTCCTTTTCCTAATACATAAAACAAGTCAGAATGAGCATCTTTGCCTGCCCCACTGGAGACGGAGGCTAATTTATTTATTAATCAAATGATTAATGACCTTTATAAAATCAAAACAACCGTAGAGGTACCCCCCCGAGAGAGACCATTTATTGGTGTGAGGATGCTGCTGGACTTTCAGCCTCTCAAAGACAGGATGATGAAGTGCAGGCTTGTATATTGAGAAGGTCTATCTGCTACGTTGGAAATGCCTACGACGCGGCACATTGTACGGGGGAGGGTGGGTGTCTTCCCGATCTTGCTGGACTACAACTCCCAACATTCCTCACCGGCTACGATGGTCAGGACGCATGGGAAGTGTAGTCCCACCTCTGGTCAGCCAGGTTTTCTCCACCCCTTGGGTTTACGGGAATCACTCATGAAAGGAAGCCAAACAGCGGGATTTCAAATATTTGAATTTTACGGGGTTAGTCTGTCCACCTGTCTCCCCAGGAGACTAGCCTGAGAGAACCACCCTTCTTTTCTCCTGTGCTGGGTGGCCGGCTGGTGTTGGAATGGCACGGCAGCCCCCGCCTACGGAGAAACCAACCCAGCCTCTCAGGGTGGCTGCCTTGGCCCACGGAGCACGTGGCGACCAGCCAAGCCACTGAGTCTCAAACCAACACCACGCCGAAGATCAAGGACCCAAGAGGTAAGGACCAGGGCTGGAGGTGGCCAAAGCCGAACACGCTGGTCCTGGCGCCGGCCAGCCATCAATGGAGTGCCTTGTCCTTTCCCACCCGCTGCGCTCCCGGAGTTCCCTTCTCCCGCAAGCGGAGGACAAAGGCTGGTATTGTCCGAAGCCTTGGGAAGGCAGGGAAAGCGAAGTCAGAAAAGGCAGCAGGCAGCAGAAAAGGACAATGGCTTTTGGAGCATCGTGGGCAGGTTAGTTTCTTAGCCAAACAGTGCACAGCTGGTCCGGGGCCTTCTAGAGCCTTCTCCCCGCTCCCACTGCCCGCCTTGCCTGTGGATGATCCTCTGAACGAACGTATGGGGATGACACAGGACCTCTCTCTCTCTCTCTCTCTCTCTCTCTCTCTCAATCTCACACACACACACACACACACACGCACACACACACGTGTAAAGTATTCTGGATAGATCTAAGAGAAGGCAAAAGAAACGCCTCTGTTCATTTTACTTCCATGAGCCGATTCTGGAACTTTTTCACCTGCCCCGTCCCTCCCGCCTCTGACCGCATGCCTCTAGCCAAAGAACCGGCGCCCCCACGTTCCTGGTGCTTTGACAAGAGTGACTTGTTCAGGAAGACTTCAAAGAGGTGGCGGCCACGGCAGCGTCACATGGCTGCAATCCCAAGGGAGGACAAAGCGGTCAAGATCAAGACCAGGACTCCGGACTGGTGCAACTGGGGTATCTTGAAGCCTTTGCCCATGTCCCAGGCCTATGGAAAATGAGAGAGAGAGAGAGATATTTCAGCACAACACAACAAAAAGGATCCTGCCCGGTGGCCTTTGCTATAGCTGGCACACACTCCAGCGCACTCTGTGGCGCACGGGCCTTTGCTACAGCTGGCACACACTCCAGCGCACTCTGTGGTCAAACAAGAGATGAAGAGCACAAGAATCGTAGAGTCTGGATCGTTGGATGATGCCAAAGGCTGTTCAAATCCACGTCAGCCTGCCCAATGGGTCTCAACTAGACGCACACACGCCGTCAACAGGACACAAACATAGTCACAATGGTTTAATCATCATCATCTTGTCAGCCTGACCAGTGGGTCTCGACTAGACGCGCGCTGTCAACAGGACACAAAAATAGTCACAATGGTTTAATCATCATCATCTTAGAACTGCTGGGCTGAAAGGGTCATCGAATCCAACCCCAGTCAGAGAGGAACAGCGGGATTCGAACTCCCAACCTTTGGCTCCGCAGGCAGAGACACAGCGATTAACTCAGGGTTGATTCTCCTCTCATCCGCATCTTCCCACAAGCATGATGCGTCATCCTCTAACGACCCGAATTGGCACGGATTAAATCTGGATACCTTCATTCCACTCGCACGCACGCCAAGGTACCATCAACGAAAAATAAAATAATAGAAGGACTCTAAGCAAAGAACCCTCGGATAAAGTGGATTTTTTTTTGTTCACATCAAAGGGGGACCCGGATTCTTTGACAGTGACAGCTGGGATGAAAAAAAAAAAAACCAGGTAGAAAAACACTGATCTGGATCATGCTCTGCCAGGAGAGGAGAAACATGTATTAAGTTTACCATGACTAAGAAAGGAAAAATGTAATTCACAGAGGATGGGTTTACCGAGGGCTGTTCTAAGGGCAGATTGGAAAGAAACTTAAATTTTCATCCAAGTCATAGGCCCTTCAAGCTCCTACGGGGGGGAAAAAAATCTCAGAAGGCAGAGAAAGGAGGTTGGGTGGTGATGAAGAAGCTGGCCAGTGAATGAGGCTTGTGCGTACGGCTCCAGAAATGTGCACGAAGGATGCCCCTCTGTCTGAATCAAGATAGCTGTCTGATCTCACAAGGGTGCCTTAAGGATTGCTCTATTCATGCAGACAAAACATTCCTCACACCTCAAAGTGCTGCCAACAGTAGGATCTGCACAGCTGATACATTCAAGGCATTGGTACATGCACTGGTCATCCCCCCCCCCAGACTGACTACTGTAATGCCTTCTACATGGGGCTTCCCTTGAGGCTGATCCAGGAGCTGCAGCAGATCCAGAATGCAGGGGCCAGACTGACGGCTGGAACCAGTCAATTTGATTACGTGTTTTATTTTAACTTGATGCCGTTTGATTTTACCTTGCTGTAAGCCACCCACAACAGTGCATGGACTACAGTGAGGGTATATAAGACAAACAATCTGTGACCTTGGGGGGAAAGAAATCCGGGGGGAAATGGTCCCTTTTGGGAAGTTTCACAAACCTGGTCACCTGGAAAAAGCTGCTACTCGCCAGAAGTGACTAGGTGAGTACCTGCCTATAAGCCTGCTTGGACTACTACAAAGGTATTTCCGCATGGATGAGGAAGCTTAGCTCCTCTCCACGCACAACGTGCCAAGATATACGTGGAAGAGCACGACATCGTGAGATTAAAGTGGTACTTTCCCTGAATCGGCCAAATCAGCGCCACTTTCTCCCCCACTTGTTACGAAAGCCTCTTCAACGTCTCCCTAATAACGTACGAGGGCACATGGATGTGCACAGAAAACATCCGCTCTGCAACTCCAGTGCGCATCAGTAAGTATGCCTCTCTCTTCCCCACCCCGAGCGAAAAGCGCTGATATATTGTGTTCCTGCACAAACAAGAAGGGCCTCCAGATTTCATTTTCTGAACCCTGCTCCCCACCCTATAAAAAAAGCAGTAGGAAATGAAGGGGAAGCGACGCACGCTGTCGAGAGCTAGAAGGAATGGAAGATGCTCATTCGAAGAGGCACGAGATGGCTAGGAGACTCGCTATGGAGTCAGTGCTCGGCCTTTACAATTTTCTTTCTAAAGAGACACCCACGTACACAGTCCACGCTTTTCCAGGGGAGAATGTCTCTCTCTGATCTCACCCCCCCGGGGGCCAGCGGCAAAGTCAGTGGCTTTCAAGGGAATGTGACTGAGCTCCAGAAGGGAGCATTCAGAACGAGTTCATTTATTTCTTTATCTTTTTTTTTTAATAAAAAGGGAAACATAAAAGGCTGACAGATGTAATTGCTTTGAAAAGTGCCAGCTCGCAGCACAAAGAATGGCAGTGAAGGTTATAGATATGGGAGACGATTACTGTTTCCTCCTGGCAGGCGAAACCCCTTTGCCCCTTTCTCTCCGTGCGTCGAGGGCCAGCTCAAAAAGTGGCATCGCTTGGATGGGTCTGTGAGCCAACTGGAGATAAAAATGCATGCAATCTTGTTTTTTTTATCTCCTCCGGCCTGAAATTAGCCGGGCTGTCCTTTGCGTCCTGGATTTCTCGGGTTGCAAAGGAATTCCCCGGAGGGCGTACTTACCAGGTGCCTGATTCCGTTCCAGGTATGGTAGGTCAAAGGAAAAGCCAAGGTGAACTTTGCAGCATAGATGAGAGCCGGATTCAGGTGTAAGGACCGGATGAACTCCAGGTAGTCCTCAAAGTGCCCGGGAAGGACCAGAGCACTTAAGCCAAAGAGCGACACCGCTGAAGGAAAAAAAACACACATGCAGTACTTAGTCATTTACGTCTCCCCATCGCCAAGAAGCTAACTTCGGCACAACCAACCCCTTCCTGAAAATCCAAGCCCTCTTGCCCAGATGTGAACTTCCGACCACCATGAAGGGTCACTGCCTGCACGACCGTGGCTACTACGTCTTCTAAGTTCATTGTTGTTGTCGTTTAGTCGTTAAGTTGTGGTCACTGCCTGCACAACCGTGGCTACTGCGTCTTCTAAGTTCATTGTTGTCGTTTAGTCGTGTCCGACTCTTCGTGACCCCATGGACCAGAGCACGCCAGGCCCTCCTGTCTTCCACTGCCTCCCAGAGTTGGATCAAATTCATTCATGTTGGTCGCTTTGATGACCCTGTCCAACCATCTCATACTCTGTCGTCCCCTTCTCCTCTTGCCTTCACACTTTCGCAACATCAGGGTCTTTTCCAGGGAGTCTTCTCTTCTCATGAGATGGCCAAAGGATTGGAGCCTCAGCTTCAGGATCTGTCCTTCCAGGGAGCACTCAGGGTTGATTTCCTTCAGAATTGGTAGGTTCGTTCTCCTTGCAGTCCGGGGGACTCTCAAGAGTCTCCTCCGGCACCACAATTCAAAGGCATCTAAGTTCATTACCAGGTGTGTATGGAACTGTCGATTCCATTTCCCATCCCTCTTGATTCTTTTCCTACCCCTGCAGAACACATCCTGTATATAAACCTGCCAATTTTAAGCCTTAAAGGTGCCACAGTGCTTCCGTTTCTGTCCTTGTTGATTTAATTCGATTGTCTGAGTGCATCAGGCTAAACGCCGCCACTTAAAAAGCACATAATAGCAACCAGCACTCAAGCTATCCAGGTTAGTGCTTCGACATCACACCAACCCTGCTGTCTAAGACATCTGGAAAATATGCTTCCCAGGGAAGGATATGTCGGCTAGCCGTCAGGAGCAGCTCAGCCGGACACAGACACCCAAGCTGACATGCACCGCAGCCGGGGGAGCGGGGAGGGGAAAGGTTCGCACGCAACAAGACAGCTTGATCTGAGCACCGTGCGCCAGCTGGATGAGACACCACCGAGTCCCCCTCTGTCACTTCCAGGCCGCGAGCTTCTTGTCTTCCCTTTTTCCAGACAGTGCTGCCAGGAAGGATGGCGGGGTGGCGAGGAAGGATGAGCGCGCTGAACAAGAGCGAAGCCAAGCTGTCGTGAGCTCTTTTCCCTCCCCACCAAACCATCCAAAGTTCAGGAGAGTGGCCCTTAAATGCCCCGCCGTCTGTCACCCTGGCTGGAGAAGCCTCGGACGGGCCAAAGTGGCCATCGGTCGCGCCACCCGGCCACGTCTTGCTACGTTTCGTGCCGCTTTGACGTCTGCCCTGCACGACGGTGGAATTAACTAGAGGATTCTCTGTCCCTCTGATCTTCCTCAGCTGCCTGACAGCAAGGTGGTGTTATCAACAGCAGGCCTGTGGGTGGGGAAGGCTGCCTTCGAATGCTAGCCACACAATAACAAATAAACCCAATTACAGAAGGCCAACGGCACCTTGTTTCTCACAGGGCCCCACCCCAGAGGTTTCTGGAAAGCTCAAGGAAGGCATGAAGTCAACACACACCATCAAAAATGGCTTTCTGTCCTCTGATTCCAGTACTTAAAGGTTATGTTTCTCATGGGCATATACTAACAGCTTTAAAGTTGGCAGTCATCTTTTCTGGAATGTCAACCTATTGTTACAAACTACAGTGGTGCCTCGCTTAACGCGTCATCTTTTCTGGAACATCAACCTATTGTTACAAACTAGATGCACCTCTGAAAGCCAATCCAGGCTCCAAACCCATGGTGTGTTGTTTGTGAGTACACCACGCAAGGGTTCAGAAGGATTGAAAGCCTATTCAAGCATGATTGTATCTCGTGGTGTCAATGTGGTCCAGGAGAAGCACCCAGAAGAACCAGCCCATCATCACTCCCTCCAGGAAAACCACGATGAGCTTGAAGAGGAGCGACCCCTTTTCACATGCATGCTCTACACATGAGTAAGAACCCCCAGTTTTCACCCTGCAGAGATTAGGGGGGGGAACCTCTCCCCTTCAGCCATCATGCCACTCATGGGTAACGAGGGATAAGTAATGACGAAACAGAGTCTTGCTTTCTATTTACAGTGGTGCCTCGCCTAACGATTGCTTCGTACAACGAAAAATTCACTTAACAATGGCTTTTTCGGAGCGATCTTGCGCTTCACTTAACGATTTTCCCTATGGCCAATTTTCGCTTAACGATTTCGGGACCATGCTTCACTTAACGATGAAGTTTTAGGTCCCTTGTTTCGCTTAATTTTTTTTTACAGCCCCGTTTTTGCTATTTTTAAAATATTCTAAAATGTTTAAAAAATGTTTAAAATGCTTGGAATCGTTAGTGCACCTAATAAAACCTTCACTAACTTAATTTGGCTCTGTTCTGAGTCTTTTTGAATTTTTTGTGAATTTCCCCCCCCATTGAAATAGGCTTCAATGCATTTCAATGGGTTTCGCTTAACATTTTTTCCTATGGGGATTTTCGCTTAAGAATGGTAATCCGTTCCAATTGGAACGGATTATCTGGTTTTCAATGCATCTCTATGGGAAATGGTGTTTCGCTTAACGATGTTTTCACATAGCGATTTTTTTTTTGGAACCAATTAAAATCGTTAAGCGAGGCACCACTGTATATGCATTCTGAGGATGCTTAATTAGAAACACAAGTTGCTCCAAGGACCGAGGCTACTCAAGAATGCAGGCTGGGGTTGCCATCATCAAATGCTCCATCTAAACCGAGAAAAGCGCTTCCATGCAAGGAGCAGGATAGTACCTGAGGGAAAACTGGCGCCTTGATAGTTTTTCTTTCTGCTGCCCTAGCGTTCTGCTTGCCAGGAATTCTTCCAAGGTGGTGCACAACCAAGCCCTTACGGTCTGGCCCAGTACCATTTTGTATACAACCACATGGTTTTTAATCTGTCAAAGCCACCAGCTGTTTCAAAGGTCTATTTAATCCCAGAGGTTTTAAAGACAGATCTCTTCCCTCCACCCCCCGGCTCGGCAAATTACAAGAGTGTTTTAAAGATCTGTGCTTTTAGAAGTGTGTGTTCCTAAGTGCCTCCTACTTCTTCCACTTTTGCATAAAACTTTAAAGCGTTCCCTCTTGTTTCCAGCGTTCCAGAGCGCTGGTACTTTTGCAATCAAAACGGCACCCACACTTGAGACACAAGTACAAGCAGACTTAGCAAAAATCTATAGATGGGGGAAAAACACCCTTTATAGGAGGCAGGAAAATGATGGTTAAAAAAAAAATCCTCACGAACTGAGTGTTCTGAATTCTTGCAGGATGCTGATAGTTAAGGAGGGAGAATGAAAAGAAGGTGGGAAGGAAAATCCACGGCATTATCTCGGAGAAGAGCATAACTGACTGACACATAAAATAGGAACACTACCTACTACAGTATTAGTGCTGCCTTAACACCAGTAGCGTCGTCCTTACTGCTCTTGATTTTTAAGATTTTACACCATATGTATTCCATCCCAATTCTTAACTAATCTGTTTGATCACAATAAAGGAATCAGTCAATCAATGCTATTCTGAAGATCCAATTTCTTCGCTATGGATTAATTAAAGCATTCCAGAAGGGGGGCTTGTCCTGTCCTTGCAAGGTTCCAGAATCCAAGTTTTTCTGTCAGTCTGTGAGAATAATTATCCCTGACCAGCCAGGCATTTGGTGGTCTAATTTGGCTTTTTTTATATAAAGACCTTCATGAAGCTGAAGGTAGTAGTGCTTGAGGATAAAACGGAGAAAAAAAGGGCAACGCACCCAAGCTCATTGCGACTCCGGTACCGCGATGGGAAATGGACATCACCATAGGCAAGGACCATCTGAAAGAAAAATGAAGCGGCGTCATTGAAGACCGACGGAACGGCTGCAGCCCTAAGTCATCACAGATGTTGCATATACATCTATCACAGAATCATGGTGCTGGAAGGGGCCTCTGAGGTCATCAAGTCCAACCCCCTTGCTTAACACAGAAATACAAATCAAAGCAGATCTGACAGAGGGTTGTCCAATTTTCTCTTGAAGGCCTCCATCGTTGGAGCGCTCCTCACCTCCCGAGGTCACTGGCTCCCTTGTCGTACTGCTCTAACAGTTAAGAAGTTTTTCCTGAACTTCAGCCTGCATCTGGCTTCCTGTCGCTTGAGCCCATCATGACGTGTCCTGAACTCTGGGATGATAGAGAACAGATCCTGCCCCTCCTCTGTAGGGCTATATACCTCTCGAGTATTTGAAAAGTGCAATCCTATCTCCCCACAGTCTTCTTTTCTCAAGGCTAAACATCTCCACTTCTCTCTGTGTGTATTTTTTTCTTGTGTCACAACTTGTCTCTCTCTTAATAACAAACAGGGAGAGTGATCTTGCTCCTATGCTTCCATATCCATCTGGTTGGCTGCCGTGGCAGCAGAGTGGTGAGCTAGGCTGGCCTTTGATCTGATCAACAAGGCCCCTTTAATCTTCTTAAATTTAAAAAAAAAAGATGCAGGGGGGGAAAGGGGCGGAGGAAGAGAACTGACCGACCGACCACCCGAGCCCTAGCAGAAATGGCCAAAATGGCCTTGGCAGGGATGATGGGGCCAGCTAGCTAGAATTATGCAAGGAATCCAGGCCAAAGGGGGTGTGGGAAGAAGGGACCAAGGAATCCGTGGAGGTGGCTGAGAAATGACATTGCCCAAAGGGTAGGACTCTGGGGCGGCTGCGCGTGCGGTGGAAGAAAGAGCAACAGCTTGAAAAAGAAAGGACTGAAGGGGAGAGAGAGGTCCTTGCACTGCCTTGAACACAGTCTGGGCTCCAAGTCGTACTGAGAAATCCCCAGGGTGGGCGCTCAGAATGTCACGCGTCCACATCCACGTTGCAATTTTGTGTGGTGTGTCGCGGTTTGAATGGGGGGGGGAGTTCAGATTCTGACTCAACCACAATGCTTTGGGCTGGATGTGACCACCCAGCCTAATCAATGACTAGCAAGACAATAAGATACTTTTAAAAATCCTGCCTTCATCCTGCTGTGTTCACTGTATTTTATAGGGGCGTAAAACGTTATCCTCTCCCACTCAAAACCCTCTCTCTCCCCTTCTCCCACGGCACAGCAGAAAGGCACTAGGCAGCTAACCTGGTTTCTTCCTCCTCTGCTTAATGGATTTTCTCAACAATAGGAAAATCCTTTAAAGGGAAAAAGGCAGAAGAGCGGCACAATGCTGTCTTATTGTTCATGTCAGCAGCTTTCCATTTGGAACTGCCCGGCACTAAACCCTAGCATGATGATGTTCTTAACCTCTATCAAAACCACTCTGCATCTCTCTGGGAGAAATACAAGAAAGAAACAAAACTAACTTGTGAATAAATAAAAAGTTGTAAAACATCTCACTCTCCATTCAAGCATCTCAAACCAACAAGAAACATTCCGCTCTTCTCTGATAAGATGCCCTTACTGGTAGATGGTGACATGGGGGGACAGAGGGCGGTTTGACCGGGTATTCTTCTCCCAAAATCGGGCCATTTCCTCTTTTGCTGTTGTCGCCATGGGGACCACACTGGAAAATAAAACAAAGCACAGAAGTTGGAAATCACACACAAATGTCTGATGGTATCAAGCGGACATGAAACTGGAATTTTTATTTTCTGGTTATTTATTTTAGAATAAAGACTGTGTCTTCATGGGGGACAAAAATCCCACAGATTCTTAAGGGGGCACACATAAATGTTTGATGTTTATGGAAGCAATGAAGGTAGCCTTAAACAGTGCCGTAAAATCAAGAAAAGTGACCAGGATGGGTTAACAAACTGAAAAAATAGAACTGTTCCTAAAAGCCAGGGCAAATTAGTAAAGTTTTGATCAGGCACTGAAAAGAACCCAGTGCTGGCACCAAGTATTTTTTTCACTGGAAGGTGCCCCCAAAGTCAGGAGGCCAACACAGAAAAGGCCCTGTCTTTCACATGTGACATAATGTATTTCCTTTCACATGATCCCCTGGTTATAACAGCTCCACCGGCTGCTGATCTGTCTCCGGGCACAATTCAAAATGCTGCTCCTAAAGCCTAAACGGCTTGGGTGCAAGCTATCGCAAGATCCACGTCTTCCCTTTACTAGCCTGCTCAAGTGTAAAGATCATCGAGAGAGTCTTTTCTCCATAATAAGATTATTCCACACTATCTTCCCCCCCTCCTCTTTATTAACTGCTAATATTTTAGCTGCATTAAGCAGGGACGTTAGGGCTGACTTTTGTATTATTAGTCCTTAGATGGCAAGTTAACAAGACCCTGGAACGATTTCCCCACCTGTTTTTAGGGGGGGGCTCTCCTGTTTTACGATCAGGTCTGCCTTCAACAATACTGAGTCTTCTAGCTGTACATGGTCTGCGCCAGTGGATCCCAACCTTGGCTCCCCGGATGTTTTTGGACTACATCTCCCAGAAATCCTGGTCAGCAGATCTAGCGGTGAAAAGGTTTCTGGGAGCTGCAGTCCAAGAACATGGGGGGGGGCTGAGATTGGGAAGCACTACAGTAGCCTGCAGGGATGGCCAGAGAGTCAACAAGGTATCCCACCCAAGGTTTTCTCCACCTCTAGTGAAACATGCTGAGAACTGAATCTGGGATGTTCTGCCTACAAACCTCCAAGCGACTGGCCCTTTCCCTGCCTGGCCCAAAACAGACGACTGAGTCTAAGGATAAAAATTCAGAAAGCACCTCCCGTTCCTTTCAGATGAACAGATTTGTTTTGGCCTGTGTTTTTGTGGGTTATAATCTATTAGCTCAAAGGCATGGAGTTACAACAGGAAGGCTCTGAGTGCGTACACGTATGATAAAAGAATGGAGACAGAGTGAAAGCGGATATAGAAAAACAACAATTATATTATCGAAACAGGCTACAGAATTAGTACAAACGCCCTGGCAATAAACGGAGCTGATCACAGCTTCTGTTGATACAACATTTAATTGCAATCATTTCGGTAATAAATTCAACAAAATACAGGGATGGGCCACCATTGTCATAGAACTATAAAAACACACACGTTCTTATATGCTATCAAGTCAGTTCCAATTTATGGCAACGCTATGAAGGAGCCATCTCCAAAATGTCCTTTTCCTCAAGGGCCCTGCTCAGCTCTTATAAACAAAAGCTTGTGGCTTCCTTTAGGCAGTCAGTCCATCTTATATCTGGCCTTCCTCTTTCCCTGCTGCCTTCTACCGTTCCCAGAACGATGGGCTTTTCCAGAGAATCCTGCCTTCTCATGTTGTGCCCAAAGTAGCCTCAGTTTTTTTACCTCCAGAGACCATTCAGGCTTGATTTGAAAATTTGTAGAGGATAATGCTATCAGCAGCTGCCATCCATGAAGAAGATATCCCACCTCCAGGCTCAGAGGCAACATTTTTCATACTGCGAGTTGCTCCCACGGTAGGAGAAGAAGCGGCTGAACCAAGCCATCCCAGTCTCGTGACAGAACACCCTTTGATTTACAGAGCCTCTACTCCCTACAAGAAAAACCCGCCTGGGATTTTAAGCACCAACCATAAAATTAACACCCATCTTCGCACATCTTAATGACCTGTGAATTATCAGGGAGGGAAGGGAGAATAAAAGTGACAAGAGGAGGACATTTTGCAAAGATGGTAGGAGGGAGGAGAATGAAAAAAAAAAACACTCTATTACTATCAGGAAACTTACTGTTGCGTGGAAAATCCTGGACCAAGACGAAAGCAAAGGCAACGTCGGCCTGTTAATCTGAAAAACCAAACGAGAGGGGTGTGTTTGATTGATGCTGGCAGACTCGTTCATGCCCTCCGAAACGAATACAATGGGGAGCCTTGGAGAAACTTTCCCAGGCTCCCTGTCTGCAAATCGTTCCTAAGAGTGGTCCCCAGAATCTCAGATTGGTTACACCAGGGGAAGAAAATGTTTGAATTGAGTTTAGCATGTTTTAAATCATTTTTTAAAAAAAGGTGACTACACAATGCACATGGAAAGGTGGACTGTTTTGACAGGGGACCGTGTTATTTTGATCGGAAGGGAGATATTTTAATCTTCTGCCAGAGGGTCATTTATATTAACTCAGATGTCAAATCAAATATATCTTGAATTGTTCTGGCAGGCGTGAAAGCCTGTGTCAGTGTAAATTGTGTTATGTGAGGTTTGCTATTCACTGGTGTGTCTTTTTCTCCATCCACCGTATGTGTATATGTCTTCCTGTGCAAACCTAGATGTGTAGATCTAGTCAAAATGTCTGGCCAGTTTCAGCCCCCACCTTTCCCTCCTTCACAAGTTTAGTCAATTTCAGCCCCATATTTGCACATTTGATCAGTTGACGGCCTGGCTTGGTATCTGCTTCGCCAGCCCGCCAGCCCCAGCTGAGTGTGTCCTGCCTTTGCAAGCCTAGTCAGTTTTTTCTCTATCTGTCATTCTGTTCTAGCGCTATTTCAGATTGCAACACACACAATAACAACAGAGCAGCAGGTGGCTAGTGGCTGTGAGAGGCTAGCCAGCATGAAGGCAACAATTCCGGAAGTCCGAGGATCTCTCTCCGTGGATACACCACACTACTATTTGAAAATGGATTAAAAGTTTTTGCACACGGACCCCAAACCGCGTGACTACCATGACTTTAAACCAAATTCAAAACCCCGCGATCCCTCGCCCAATTTATTTCAACCGTGTAACCGCAGTTGTTTAATCTCCTTGGAACCGTCCTGTGCAATCGCTACAGTCTGCCACCCAGACGCAAGGCACCACCTCAAAAGCTGAAATAGTGACCTTCCTCGACTTGACCTTTTTCTGAACTGATTGTGTTCATCTCTCTTCCTCCTCTGGGACCAAGAGAGATTTCATCAGTAAAGAAACTCAAACGACCCAGGACAACCGGCCTGCCTCTCCTTGAGCAATCTGAACTGATTAAGGAGATTACTTCAAAATTAATCCTACAGGATTAGCAGGTTTACTTTTCAATACATGCAGAGACGGGCTTTCCTAACTCAGCCCAGCTGTTAAATATTGGCCGGAAAGTCTTGTCTTTCAGCCTAGAAGTCTCTGGTGTGAATCTAAGCTTTAGTAACCCCATCGGCACCTTCCATCTCGAGAAAGAGGCAGTGCCAGATAACCCGACCAGAGTTGGACTGCTAAAACGAAACATAGAGGATTATTATTCCGATTTCCCTTTGATATCAGTCAGGGCAGGCTAGTACTGATCCATCAGTAAAAAAAAAATTACAAACATCATAATGGACAAAAAGCTCTCTGAGCCTTCAGAAAGCACTCTATTAAATTATTATGCTCACTTCTATTTATCCTGCCCTTTCTCTAAGAGGTTCAGACAGCTTACATCATCTCTTTCCCACTTTACTATTTTTTTTAAAAAAGCACCCCTGCAAGGCAGGTCACACGGAAGAGCAACAACTGGCCTATGGTTATCTACAGAGCTTTGCAGCTGAATTAAGAGCTGAAGATGGGTTTCAAAGGCCACTGCTAGTCAGACGTGCTTAGAAATAGACAAGAGGGCAGATCTCCAGCGACGGCTGAGCTGTAGCTTTCATCCGTTCTAGCCAGCCTAGCTCATGGTGAGGGAGGATGGAAGCGAGAATCCATATGGAGGGGCTACGCTTTCCACATCGCTGCTTTAGCCGAAATAACACAGCAGCTTTAGATGAGCCATTTGGTATGCTACTGTTCCCCCCCCTCGAAAATAAACCCTGAAGTGAAGTGAAACCAGGAACTTGCTCAGCGCAGTGGTTAAACTGTGCTCACGACCCGGGGTTCAATCCCAGGTAGCCGGCTCAAGGTTGACTCAGCTCAGC